AAGTAGGCTCCAAGCTGGGTGCCCCAATGTGGAGCTCAATCTCACGACCCTGAGATCAAGATCTGAGCTGAGATCAAGAGTTGGACGCTTGGGGCGCCTGGGTGGCTCAGTTGGTTGGGCGACTGCCTTCGGCTCAGGTCATGATCCTGGAGTCCCTGGATCGAGTCCCGCATCGGGCTCCCTGCTCGGCAGGGAGTCTGCTTCTCCCTCTGACCCTCCCCCTTCTCATGTGCTCTCTCTCATTCTCTCTCTCTCAAATAAATAAATAAAATCTTTAAAAAAAAAAAAAAAAAGAGTTGGACGCTTAACCAACTAAGCCACCCAGGCGTCCCAGGGTTTGGCTTATTTCATTAGTAACCATGAATCTTAACTAAAATAAACATGTTGGTAAAAGGGTTAGTTCTTCGGGAAACCTTTTTGCTTTTTCTTGATTCCTTCTTACGAGTAGTTGGGATATAAATAATTTGTATATTTAAAAAGCCTAAAGAAATGCCCTTAATGAAGTAGCGTAACGGTTAGAGCATGGGTTTGGAGTCAGCCCAAACTGGCTTCCAATCCGAGCTCAACAAATATCTAGTGAGTGCCTTGCAAGGTGCAGGCCCCCAGCAGGTGCCAGGGATAAAGCCATTAACAATGTACAAAAACCCCTGCCCTCACAGAACTTTCTTTCTAGTACTCAGCAAATATCTGTGTGTCAACTATGTGCCAGTCACCAGTAAGCACTCTGAATATATATGCCTGTTTATAAAGGGGGGATAGTAAGTTACCTTGTCCATTTGTTTAAAGGAATCATTATAAGGTATGCATGTGTTTAACACACAAGGCCTGCCTGACACATGGCAAGCACTCAATGAAAAGCAGCCATGTTTATGTTTAGACACAGAGTCATGCCTTGCAGGAACTAGCCTCAGTATCTGTTGGATGCCCAATGTATGTCCTCCATTTGTCTCAAAATAGGACTGACATCTCGACAGAATTTCCACTCCAGCTGGAGCCAGAGATAGTTATAGGTGATATGTGCTGTAGCAGAATAATGAGGCAGAAGAAGATGGTGAGTAAGAACACAGACTTCGGAGTCACCCGCCTAGTTTCAAACCCCAGTTCACGTTCAGGAAAATCACTTAACTCTTCCACTCAGTTTCCTCAATTGAAAAATAGGACTAACAACAACGATGATATTACTTCACAGAGCTGTTGTGAGGACCAAATGAGTTATCATATATAAAGTACTGAAAACCTGCCTGGCACATACTGCTATGTAAGTACATCCTAATGTTACTTATAAACTGCTGTGGAGGGGCACCTGGCTGGACTTGATCTTGGGACCGTTGAGTTCAAGCCCCACATTGGCCAAAGATTACTTAAAAACAAAAACAAAAAACTGCTACGGAAACACATAGGAAGGAGATACTAAGCCTCCTTAGAGTGCCAGTGAAGCTCTGTCTAAGGAGAGGACATCAGATTTGGGCCTTCAAGGATATATAGGAGCTCACTAGGTAAAAAGTAGGAGAAAGCATTTCAGATGAAGAAAACAGTTTAAACAAATGAGCTAAGCCATGAAGAAATCATATGCATTAAAAACAATAGGGGCCCTAGCTGGTTCATTCAGTGGAGCATTGGACTCTTGATCTCAGGGTCCTGAGTTCAAGCTCCACACTGGGTATAGAGTTTACTTAAAAAAAAAAATTTAAGGGCGCCTGGGTGGCTCAGATGGTTAAGCGTCTGCCTTCGGCTCAGGTCATGATCTCAGGGTCCTGGGATCGAGTCCCGCATCAGGCTCCCTGCTCCTTGGGAGCCTGTTTCTCCTTCTGCCTTTCTCTCTCGCTCTCTCATGAATAAAAAAAAAAAATCTTAAAAAAAAAAAATTAAAACAAAACAAAACAAAACAATAACAACATCTAATAGGTGGTAGATAATGCATGAGGCACTGTTTTGGGCCATTAGCATTGTGGACCACCAAACTAATCAGTTTTAAGTCAGAGCTTGACCTGATAATTTCTGGGAACTGACACTACACCATAAACCAACACTTCAATGGCATTAACAATTTTTCCACATGAAGCAAATAAATCCAATTTATACCTACCGTTTATTAGGCACTGCATTGCCAGCAAATGGCAACAACTATGCTGTTTTCAAAAGGACCTCATTTAATCCTTACACTGGCCCCTGGAATGGACACAAGAACTCCATTTTATATATAAGGAAACTCAGGCTGCCTGAGCAATTTTCCCAAGGTCACAGAGACAGTATACTAGATAGGAAAGTGTTCAGCTGCAAGTACAAATAGCAGTTTGGGTTGTTTGTTTGTTTTTCACATAAACATAAGTCTGCAGGTACGTAGTTACAGCCCTTAGTTCAGTGATTCCACAACGCCACCAAAATACCTAGGGTTCCTCCCCACCATTTTGGCCCTATGGCTCCCACAGTCTCACATTCCTTATGATACTTTTTTAAACCCATCTTTAAAAATCTCACCAGCCAAGATTTTGTCCAGCTTTACTTTTTGAAGTATTTCCGCAGTCAGCTCATACAGCTCATTGATTTCACAGATGGGGAAATAGATTTGCCCCTAGCAAGATATCAGAGCTAATTAGTTACACCAGCCTGGAGTCCAGTGCTCTTTCCATGATACAAGTATTTAGTGGAGACTGCAAGTTGCCCACCAAAATCTGTTCTCCCATTTTTTCTTGGCACATGGCTCGACTACATGTCTTAGCCTCCTTTGCAGGTAGGTGTGGATGGCCATATGACTAAATTCTTGCCAATGGAAAGTGCAAGGTATGTGTACCACTGCAGGGTCCAGGCCTTGAAAGTCTGGGTGTCTCCTCTGGCTGTTTCCCCTTCCCACTGGCTGGACCCAGTGATGACCCAGCTTCACTCATGCAGATGATAAAATGACAATGCCCCCCCCCCCCCCGCCCCGAGGATGGAAAAGCACCATGATATAAGGAACCAGTCTGTGTCCCTGAATAACTGCTTAGAGCACAGCTGCCCCACTGAGCTGGACCACTCACTTCAGAAATGTTGACTCCCCCTCAGAGTTGTTATGTGAGAAAGAAACAAACTACTTTGTTCCTTAAGCCACTGTACTGTTGAGCCTCTTTGTTACAGCAGCTTAGCCTTTCATCCTAACTAATACAACCATGCAGCTTCCTTTATACGTATGCTGAATAGCTTTACAAGTGACCAGTTAGCCATCTTTTTAGAAAATAGCCCTAACTGCCCAAGCAGGTGATAAATACGAAATTCCTTCCTGTGGCTACTATCTCATGATTTCTTCATGCTGGTTGAAGTTATTTAATAGTTAAAACAGATCATTTATGTAGAGACCCACTTAGCTTTTATGCTTTCACGTAATTATTTCAACAAACACTTGATTTTCTAGATGTTGGGGATATATAGACAGGTTACTGCCTTCATAAAAGCTTGCCTTCTAGCGCTTTTTTGTTGGTGGTGTTTTTAATGTTGTGTTTTAAGCAGAAAAATCTCTTTGTAGGAACTGAGGCTACAGTTACTGAGGGTTACAAAGGATCAAACCATGTACCTAGACTATAGATGAACAGTTTTCCTGCTTAGCCCTAAAAATCAAGCAAAATATTTTAAAGACTAAGAATCCTGCTCTCTGATTTTCAGAGTCGAAGTATTTCCTACCCACTTAAAAACAGCATTGCTTGAACTACAAGAATTGTAAAGCTAGTTAGGATTTTTACTTTCTATGTCGACTTTATCTCAATAAAACTGGAGCAAAAAATTTTTTACTGACAGAGGTAGATGGACCAAATAGCTTGCTAAGTGCTGGAATTAATTACCAAAGCCATTTAGAGAGCACTGCTGTAGACTGGAGACTCTGAACACCTGGACCAAAGGGCTCGGCTTGTCTAGGGATTAGCTGAGGCCAGATGGTACAAAATGGCACTCTTCATCCTCCCTCCAGGCTGAACAAATAGCCCAGAGCTGGTCTCCGTGGTCCTTTCCAGCTCTCAAATGAGATCTGGAATGAGATATTTAGTAGTAGTAACAGAGGGAAGCAGAGGTTGGTCCTGGCTTTGCCACAACCTGCTCTATGGCTATGGAATATCCACGTTTTGGGGCCTCAGTTTCCCCATCTGCCCAAGAAGGTGCTAAGGATCCTTTCATCTCTACATTTACCACAATCACTAGGAAGAACTACTTCCCTTCCCTACACTCAACAGCGAGGTCATTCAGAAGGCAGCAGGCGGAGAAGGGGAGATCTACCTCAGTGCAGGGCCTCAGACTGGGGCACCAAGCTGATTTCTAGTGAGTGTTCCTCTTCCCTAGGCTCCCTGCTCATGGTGAAGGAATTTCATCTTGTTGACTTTACAGTTTCTAAGAATGGGGCAGTGGGCACAACCACAGTGCCTTAAATTTCGTAGGTACTTCATAAATATTAGGCATTTGGATTTCTTTCTTTCAGGAAACTCCTGATTTCCAATTGCCATAGAGATAGTAGTGAGTTCAACGAGAAGTTGCTGCTCCAGGGAGTTCAGATGAAAGGATTAAAGGTTTTTTGAGGTAGGATTATTAAAACTAGTTTTTCCTGCTTCCCCGTTGAAACTTTTTTTAAAGCTTTAAAATATATCCAGTGACTTGAGTGAAGAGCATTTGAGAGACTAAGGCTCCCCCTAAAATTACAGCCAGCTTAATAGAGCCTCAGCGCCTGCGCTGCAGCTCACCAGCTGTCCTCCCATGCGGAGCCCCTCTGCCCACTGGTTAAGGGGAAGAGAAACAGCATCTCCCTCCCAGGACTACGTGAGAAGAGAAAGTATATAAAGCGCTTGGTCCTGTTTGACTCACAGTTAAATATTCATCCTCACTTCCACTGGGAACGTGTGACTTTCTGCTCTGTTAGCTCCTGAAGTAGTTAATGTAAAACTGATTGGGAAAACTCTATTATGTTTCATGTAAAGAACAACATGCGGCGGATACAAAGATAATTTCTTCATTGACTTAGAAAATCTTTATTTTTGAAATTCAAAGTCGTTAAAATTGGGTAAAGCTCAATAAAACTCAAGAGGTCCAGGATATCCCCCAGAGTGGGGAAGGAGGGAGGAGAAGCCACTGAAGTCATGTTGAGAACCTTAGCCTTCAGGTAACATGGTACCCTATCTACAGACCTGGCTCCAAACTCCTGCCCTAGCATCATGCTGTGCCATGTTGCGTGCCTTCCCCCAACACATGCACACTCTCACACACTCGGGGGGGGGGGGTGGGGGGGTGGCGGCAGGTCCTCGGATTACTTGCTCTTATAGCAAGTGTGATTTCTTTGCAGCCTTATTACAGCTATAATTCTGTAATTATTTAATCAGTGTGGACTTTCTCGATCACCACTGTATCCTCTGAGTCTAGCAAAGCACCAAGCACATGGTAAGTTCTGAGGTATCTGCTGGCTGAATGAATGGGCTGGCCATAGCTTAAGAATTTGTCAGAGACTGGTTTTTGGCCTAAACCCTAGCATCTGAATGAAGTTCAGTATATAAGGTAAGTGAACCCTGCTGGAGTTAACTGGGGAATCTAGAGTAAATGGTTAACGCCCAAAACAAGAGACCTGACAGAGGTGGCAGGAGAAATCCATGCACACCCAGATGCTGCTAACAGGAGAGGTGACAGATGAAGATAGTACGTGCTAAATGCTCTTTTGGGTAAGGGGGGGAGGGGGAAAGAATATATATTTCTATTTGTTCATTTTTGCATTAAAACACTCTTGAGAGAGAGAGAAAAAACTAGTAAGTATCTATTTGGGGAGAAGTGGATAGAGATGGGAGCGAGATTTCTCAAAGAATGTCTTTTTTTTTTTTTTTTAAAGATTTTATTTAGGGGCACCCGGGCGGCTCAGTTGGTTGGGTGTCTGCCTTCCGCTCAGGTCATGATCTCTCAGGGTCCTGGGATGGAGCCCCACGTCAGGCTCCCTGCTGGGTGGGGAGTCTGCTTCTCCCTCTGCCCCCACCCCCGCCGCCCCCTGCTTGTGCTTTCTGTCTCAAATACATAACATTTTTTTTTTAAAAGATTTTATTTATTTATTTATTTGACAGAGAGAGAGAGACAGTGAGAGAGGGAACACAAGCCGGTGGAGTGGAGGAGGGAGAAGCAGGCTTCCCGCCGAGCAGGGAGCCCGACGCGGGGCTCGATCCCAGGACCCCGGGATCATGACCTGAGCCGAAGGCAGACACTTAACGACTAAGCCACCCAGGCGCCCCTCAAATACATAACATTTTTTTTAAAAATAAAGATTTTATTTATTTCAGAGAGAGAGCAAGAGAGCCACCCAGGCACCCCTTAATGAATGTCCTTGATATCATTTTGATTTTTGAACTATGTAAACAAATTCTGAACTATGTAAACAAAAAAATAAAACTTTTAAAAAATGTTAGAAGCAGGGAGCCCGATGCGGGGCTCGATCCCAGATCAGGACCTGAGCCGAAGGCAGACGCTTAACGACTGAGCCACCCAGGCGCCCCAAGAACTGCTTTTTAAAGTCCAGCAGAAATGCTCCTTCTTCCATAATCCTCTTCCCTCCCCCTTCCCTCCCCTCCAAAGTACAATTCTACATACCTCTTACGGCCTTTAGATATTCTCTTCCCTAGACTGGCTGTTTGTACAGTATGAACAAAGCTCCCTGAAAACAAGAATGACATCTCATTTTATCTCTGTTTTTCCCTCTAGCCTGTCATCTAGTAAATTCTGAACAAATAAAGTATTACTTGAGTAAGGTTATGGCTTAATAGATACACCCCATTTGGGGTGATGAAAAAGTTTTGGAAATAGAGGTGATAGTTGCATAGCACTATGAATGTAATTAATGCTGAACTGTAAACACAAAAATGCTTAATTTTATGCTAAATACATATACTCAACATTGCTGGAAATCACACATCTCCAAACACCCTCTATGTCTTCCAGGAATATAGTAAGTGCTCAATAAACATTTGCTAAATAATGACTAGACAGTATCATATGAAGAATGTCAAGTTTGAGAAAAGGCTAACATGTTTTTGTTTTGTTTCATGGTTTGTTTGTTTTTTTTAAGTAGGCTCCAAGCCCAGTGTGGAGCCCAGCGCAGGACCTGAACTCACGACCCTGAGATCAAGACCTGAGCTGAGATCAAGAGTAGGATGCTTAACCGACTGAGCCACCCAGATGCCCCAAAGCTATTATGTATGTTGATAACAGAGCCTACTGTGTATAAACTAGACACGGAATATACATTTTTTAAGGACTAAAGAGACTCTTGGAAACTTTTTCTTTATTTAACTTTTAATAAAAATATAGACTCCTAACTCAGTAGAAAGATAGCAGTGATAGTAATTATTACACAGGAGGACCTCAACAAATGTTAAAGTCTCGTCTTCAAGTGCCACATCATGACCACCTCCTTCTCTCCTTCTCAGTGGAATTCCAAGATTTGGTTGAGGTCACTTAATCATCTCACTGGGGCTGGGCCTTTCCTGTCATTCACCCAAATCCAGAACTCCTGATTTGTGGCTCACAATACTTCAGTCATCTTTTATAAAAGTATCTGAAAATGAGATATTTTTAGCCAGAGTCAGGGACATAAAACTTTTTTTTAAGGGATATAGGAAATTCAGGTATTCATTACCAAAAAGATCCTCAAGTATTAAAAAGTGCAATCTGTGCCTCTTTCAAATATAGAACCTTTAAGGTTGAAAGAAAAAAAATCCCTTCCCCAAATCATCATTACCAGGCACATGAACCAAACAAGGAGCTAACAAGGCCTGCTGTTCCCATGACAGAGAACACGAGACTTTAAAACTATACCACCAAAGAAAGAAAATGGTGGGGGCTTTCTGCATAGCATTCCTCAGTCCAGAGGGGGATACACACATAACCCTCCCTCCTGAACTGGGTCCCTACCTGTGCAAAGGCTACTGGACATGTCTCTTTAAACACCAGATTTCAGCTCTTTCTCATTCTGCCCTGGGGATCCTTTCTCTTTAAGCTCTTTGTCACGGTCTGGAGAAATACTCTGATTTTCTACGGTAGCTACAACATCCAAGTCCAATCTTCTTCTCTTCTTCAGTTGGTGCAAGTGGGATTTGGATTTTATATGTGCTAAGACAAAACAAAACAAAAACAACTCATTAGAACTTTCTAGAAATCAATCCTAGAAGCATACAAAATTAACTACACAATCCTTTTCTTTAACAATAACAGGATCAACATGTACTGGTATAGCTGCTTAGCATTGTTAAGGGAAGGCAAAGTTATATGGCCAGCAAGCTACCATGCATTAAGTGTACCCTGCTGGGTGCTTTATATACTAATCCTCAGAGCCATCTTGCAGGACAGTATTATTCAGCTCATTTTATAGAGGAGGAAACTGAAGTTCACCGAGGACTTCGATTTTGTCCAAGGACACACAGCAGGTAAATTCTTCAGCTCACCTATAGTTCAAAAAGAGACCAAATTTTCCAGAATCAAGGCTCTAGACTCAATTTTCCAGTACGGGGCTTCTTGTTACAGATAGATTACCTTTCAACTCACTCAGCTAAAAAGTTATAAATCCAAATCCTTGTCTGTATTGCAGGACAGATGCTCTGTCCCACATGAGACCTAGAGCTGTCCTTGCACTTCTTCCCAGCTCACACAGGTTGCCCCTGCTGATCTGACATCCCTCTGCCTGGGTTAGACAAGCCATCTGAATGACTAACCCACAAGGTTCACATTCTCCAAGCACACAATGCTCCAGGGAGATAACAGGAAGCATTCTTCTCTGTCGATCCTTTTTGAGGGTCCACAGAAGCCATAAAGCTGAAAGGCCACTGTTGCCTGATACTAATTTTTTTTTTTTAAAGATTTTATTTATTTATTTGACAGAGAGAGACACAGCGAGAGAGGGAACACAAGCAGGGGGAGTGGGAGAGGAGAAGCAGGCTTCCCGCCGAGCAGGAAGCCCAATCCAGGGCTCAATCCCAGGACCCTGGGATCATGACCTGAGCTGAAGGCAGACACAAATGACTGAGCCACCCAGGCGCCCCTGCCTGATACCAACTTCTGACCTCTCACCCCAAAGACTGTTCCCACCCTCTAACTCATACTAGCTTCTTTTTACTTATTCTTTTTCAAGGAAATTTTCTTTGGAAGCCTCTAATGAGATAGACGACTAGATTAAATGATCTTTGATATCTATTAAAAACATCATTTTAAGGGTTTCAAAGCAAAAAACAAGTAAGGAAGAGGTTAGAAGTCAAAGAAAAGTTTACTTGGGGGAAAAAAGTCAGCTTTATTTTCCAGCTAGAGCCTAAGGCAAAAAAGGGCTTCTGGCCTGGCTCTCCATGGCAGCAGGAGATGGGAGCAAGGACTTGACAGATGGCACTACAGAAGGGTTCACACAAGCTAAGCTCACAAAGGCTCACAAATGTTGTTTCTTTAAGGCTATCCCTGAAGGACATTCGACAAATCGAACCACTAAGTTTCTTTTAGAAAAAAACAATCAGACACTCTCTTTCTCTTCCCCTTTCATCATTATAAACCAATGACAATCGAGGCTTCTTCTGCTGCTTGGGCAAATCACAGCCATCCCCAGTCTCTGACAATGGAGTTCATTTTGCCAGCGTTACCAGTTAACAGAACTAATCATTCTATTGGTTTGTATGGGGAGAAAATGCTATTTCTAGGAAAATCCCATGCAAGGCAGTACTCTGAACAGGATTCCAGCCACTGGGTCCCTACAAGCCTTACTGTGCGCAAAAGGAGTGAGCCTTAAACAAGTTTCCAAATCCAATGTAAACTCAAGACTTGGGAGGCCCTGGCCCTTTTTGGGCTTTGACTAGAGGACTACAAGAATCTGACAGGGGAGTTCAGTATGACTGTAGTAGAGGCAAATCCAGGCTCTAAAGCGAAAGAGAGAATTAGGTCAGGGCCCATGCTGGTTGCTCAGGAGTGCCTTTAAAAAAGACATCACCCTTTGGCCACCTTTTTTATACAAGTCTGACAGTCTTGCTTTCAAGCTTCTTTTGTTTTTTTTAAGATTTATTTATTTGAAAGAGAGAGTGTGTGCGCATGCATGGGGGAGGGGGCGGGGAGGGTGTTTAGCGCAGGGTTCAATGGGGGGCTCCTTCCCACAACACTGAGATCATGACCTGAGCTGAAACCAAGAGTCGGACGCTTAACCTACTGAGCCACCCAGTGCCCCTGCTTTCACAACTTCTTTTAACACTTTTCATCACAGCTTTAGCAATCACCACCATTTCAACATATTACCTTAAAAATTATGAAAGAGACCCCACTTTCAAAGAATGTACTCGGGAGGAGTAACTGCACTTCCTCCCACCCTCCCAGCTGTTTCTGCTTCTTTGGTGTCTTGGGTGAGTTGGCTGGTATCCCTTACAATCCCACCTCACCTGCACTGCATTCTAAACATGAAAGGCCAAGAAACTGCTAGAGGGTAGGATCAGGAAAATCAAAGGAGCTCCGGAAAGTTAACTGCAGACCTCTCAGTATAAAATATCTACTTTAGGGGTGCCTGGGTGGCTCAGTCGTTACGCGTCTGCCCTCGGCTCAGGTCATGATCCCAGGGTCCTGGGATCGAGCCCCGCATCAGGCTCCCTGCTCAGCGGGAAGCCTGCTTCTCCCTCTCCCACTCCCCCTGCTTGTGTTCCCCCTCTCACTGTCTCTGTCAAAAAATAAATAAAATGTTTAAAAAAAAAAAAAATAAAAGCAGACTCCAGCATTCAACCTACTGAAGACCTTAAATTTCACGAAGTCACTGTGAGCCACCCTTACAGATTTCTCCATGCCCTTCCCCAGATTCTACCTGTCCATTCACGGTCCCCAATGATGATTCGATCACAGAGGTCACACATGTGGTAACTTCTCTTGTTCTCCATTTCATTGTATGGCATCTTTACTGGAGCAGCTGCAGGCTTGTGGCCCTGAAAGAACGGGGCGGGGGGGGGGGGGGGAGGATGGGAGAGAAGCAATCAACTCAAAGAGATTTGGATCTCATTCTCTGATATTAATAAGGAGACTGGGATTTTCCCAAGATTCCTTTTTCTCATCCCAGAGAACAGGTGGACTACGGACAGATTTTAGCAACAACCTTTCTAAATGTGAAAGTAGAAACACAGCCTCCAGGGATCTAAAAGCAGCCAGCTCTTCTGCTCTATTCCATGGAAAAGAAAGCCTGGTTCCCTACCAACAACGATGCCGGCTAAAGAAAGCTCTCTGAAAGCCAGACAATACGCAGTACTATGATTAATAATCACCTGGATGAAACTTTGCACGATTTCAAGAGCAGGTTCAAGAACAGACTCTTCCCACTTCGAGACATCAGATACTTCTAAGCCATATACTGGGGGGACACTGGGACCAGGTCCTAATGATGACAAAGAGAAGTTGTGAGAAGTCATCCTCCAAGACCCAATCAATTCTGCTCCCAGGACTCCAAAATCCTCAAAGGAAATATATGGGGGCCAAAGGAATAAACATTCTGATCATGCCATTCATTCTAACTAGAAATATGAACCAAACAACTACATACAATCCAAGAATGACCTAGAAGGTTCACTGATCTGTAGCCAACAAGTCTAGCTGTATAATCCAGAGACTTCTAGAGACAAGATCTTCCAGATCAGTCAGAAAAAAAGAAGAGAGTAACAGCTCTAGTGACTACCACATGGGCTACAATATGAAGATAGCATATCATAGGAGTAAATAAATTAACAGCTTGAAGTAAATGCCTGTTTTAAGTTGCCTATCATCTTACAGTGATGTTGCTCTTGTGGCAAAAGAGTTCACAGCTTTCTTTAGGAGCAGACACTAGTCTCAGGTTTGTATATATCCCTTCAGCAGTATGGCATTCATGAAACTTGTTGATACCATACGGATATTCAGGGACTGGGAACAGAAGAATATCAATCAATGAGCCACTAAATCTGAGAACTAGAAAGAAGCCTTGAAATTGAACTAGTTGAGCCCCTTTTTTTAGGAAACAGATCTAGAGGCGTATTCAAGAAACACCCTTTGGTAAATACTTCTGAATGGAGAGGTGACTGGAGATAGCCTAGAGTACAGCCACAGGCATTCTGTCCATTGCAGCCAACCCTGTTTAGTCTCTCCCGGTAGCTTCCCCTGTCTATGGACACACTAAATTGCCTTCCACAGCTAGGTCAAGTCAGTTGCCTAAAGGCAAAGAGCATCTCCCCATGGACAAAAACATCAAAGTCCTTAGGATGCCAACGGCTGGCAGGTGCTGGCCTTTTGATTGTGCCAACCACAAGTAAGATTCTTCATAAAATGGATTGGGCTGCACCTGCCACCACACGGAAAGGTGAGACTGGGAGGGTGTAGGCAGCATCCACAGCACACCTGGCCTTGGCTAAGCTCTGCACCTGTTTCCAGGCCACTCTATATTTTCCCTTCCCCTCTGAGCCCTTTGTTGGGCTTCTGTGCCCTGTCTAAGCACCTTTCAACAAGTTCTCGGCTCCCAGCTGCTATTTCTGGCATGGGTCCAAGGCCAAGTTGGGGCGGGGAAGTCCCTCTGGCTTCTTGCCAGAGCCATGTCCCAGCAGACTAGCCCTGGCCAATCACACACGGGTCCTGGTTTACAAGGCAGCTGTGCCTTTCACTCTAGCACCAGAACTGAGCCGGCATACACATGAATGAGGAATGGGCAGATGATGCACTGTGTGCCATCAATCCCTCCTGACTCAGAGATGGGGGAGTTATTGTGGCTTTACAACAGGAGGAAGTTTCGAATCATTACAAAAAACATCTTTTGTTACAGACTAATTGTTAGCCCTGGGGAGAAGAGAAGCTGCATTAGAAATCTGTAGTAGTGAATTTCAGTCGATGCAATTCAATTTCGATTTTAGCTGAAGCCAAGAACTCTGACAGGACATGCAGAGAAAGCAGGGTAAGTAGAAGGAAGTATAAAGAGCCCCTTGGTGCCAGAACTACCCCAGAGAGCTCTGGCAGAGAGCGAGCACGGGAGAGAGAACTTCAGCAATCAGTGGTCAACAACATGGATCGAGGTGTTCCTGTTCAGAGACCCTGAAGAGCAGAGTGGAGGCCTCAGCTGTCCTTATCTTTAACTGAAAGCAGAAGTCTAACGGCAAAAGGCAAACAGGACTATTTAAAAAGTGCCTATAAGATAAAGTTGGTGTTTCACTTAATCTCCTTTAAATTAATCTCCTTTTAGCTCATAACCACACAATTTCTCACCAGAGGCCCAATATCAATGCTGTCTAGCTAAAGTGATAGCTACAGGAAACAAGAAAAGCACTATAAAGTACAAGGGGGGAGGGGGGGTCAGGCCTGCATTCAATACTGCTTATTCAGCTGTCAGATTTTTGGCAAGATACTTAACTTCTTGAAATCTCCATTGCCTTATCTGCAAAAATAAAAGAATAACACCTACCTTGCAGGCTCAGTAATACATGTACAGCACCAAATCTAGTGTCAAAGACACAGAACAAGGTCAAATGAAGGAGAATTTCCTTCCCTTTTCTTAAAAGTGCTGTTCAGTTGAAGGCAAAGCTGCAGCGCTCAGAAGCACCATGCACCTGAATGTGAAGGCAATGCTGGGAGAACTGGTGTAGGTTTGACTTTTTACACTGTTCATCTGGCCTAAGAACCATTTTCTTTCTTTTTTTTTATTAATCTCCACACCCAACATGGGGCCCAAACTCACAACCCCCGAGATCAAGAGTCACATGCTCTTCCAACTGAGCCAGCCAGACGCCCAAGAACCATTTTAATTAGGAAAACCTCCCTACAGAAATCTGACTGCACTTCAGGCACAAAATCTGAAGCTAAAGTGAACCCTGAGCACCGACTCTGCGAAGATGTTGCTAGTATGCTCTTACCTGTCTGCAGCCAGCACCCACGTGTTCAACTCCTGACTGAAAAGATTCCATTTGTTTTCTAAGACATTACAAAGAAGCTTCCCTGCATAGTCATTTATGCAGTAGACCCTCTCCCAGATCAGGTCCCCAAAGCTTAGGACAGGTCCAGAAACTAAAGTTCCTTTTCTGGGGGAGCTAAGGACATCTATATTCTACTGGAAACAGACCCAGGAGATAAGGAAAAACATAAGACTTACTGCTCAAAAAACGGTTTTTAACCCATCGGTTTTGTTTCCGGGCATATCTTTTAGTCACTTGTTTCAGAGACTCAATACCTAAAAGACAAGGTAGATCTAAGAACCAAGTTCTGACCAAGCCAAAAGGCAAGCCCCCCTAGCCCAGCAGAGGAGAAAATCAACCATAGCAGCACACTGGAGTACACTTGGTAGACAAAAATCTTAATTCTGAGTTGAAGGCCATTTGGGGTTCTTCTGGCCTCAACTCTTTCTCAGACCATACCAGCGGGGTACTCTGCCACCCAAGAATGTGCAAGTATAGGTTAGATGGAGGAATTCACACCTTTCTTTAGGAGCTGGTTACTAGTCTCTGGTGTGCATTTTCCCTCAGTGACCAGGTACTCGTGAAATTCCTTGAAGCCAATGGATTGGAAGATACCATGTTGATAGTCCTGGCTGGGAACAGGAGAGCATCAGCAGATGAGCCATTGCATCTGAGAGCTAGCAGGGGCCTTAGAGAAGATCTAGCTGGGCCATTTCATCTCACAGATGAGAAACTGAGATCCAGAGCAGTTACTGCCTCTCTAAACTTCCTCCACCACCCACCAGCTCCCTGGTTAGTTCCCTTGAAAATTAACTCCTGGGAATGTCTGAGATTAGAAAAGTGCAACTGTAACAAGTACACCAGACCTCCTTCCAACAAGCCTTGCCAATGCCAAGGACAAGGACAAGGCTAATAAACAAGTAGATCCAAAGCCAGTACTACATTTATGATCTTTTGATCATAAGCAAGGAAGGGAGAGTAGGTCAAAGAAATGGCCAAATCCTCACCTATTTTCTGCAACTTTCTTCTGATTATAGCGTCTGTGAAAATCTCTTAGTTCATCCAAGAGCCCAGCAGCAAGCATGTCATCCACCCTCTTATCCAAGCGCTCATCTAGAACTTCAATCACATTAGCCCATCAACCAGCAAGCCTGTCATAGGTGCCCACTAGACACTTACATGATGAATGGACAGGCTGCCACAAGAAGAACAGTTGTTCAAATGGAAGAAAGGGTTCAGAGTCCAAAGATTATAGAATAATTCATATTATATTTGTCATACTTAAGACTGCACTTCAATAAAAACAGCCAAAATGAAGCACGTCTTATTATATAAAGAGAAAGCTTACAATTACGACTATTAGGAAGGACAAATATTTTATTATGGAATGTATATTCACTGTTTACTTTACAGGTAGCTGAGAGACCCCTGGATTATCCTTTTTACTTTTTTCCATTATATTTGTTATTCTTAGTGTTCTTTTACATTTAAGTACTTTCAGGGGCGCCTGGGTGGCTCGGTCGTTAGGCGTCTGTCTGCCTTCGGCTCGGGTCGTGGTCCCAGTGTCCTGGGATCGAGCCCCACATAGGGCTCCCTGCTCGGCGGGAGGCCTGCTTCTCCCACTCCCACTCCCCCTGCTTGTGTTCCCTCTCTCACTGTGTCTCTGTCAAATAAATGAATAAAATCTTTAAAAAAAAAAGAACTTTCAGATGACACCTTGGATAGGAACAAGGAACTTCAATCCAAAGCCATCCTAGGTACATCTTGAACTATTGAGCCAGACAAAGGAGCAAAGAGTCAGGGGTCATAATCATTCAGATGTGATGGCCAAACCTGATTATGACCAAAGGTGGTGGTCAGCTTTATTATGAATCAGATTCCATTATTTTATGCTGAATTGTAATATGTTTTTAGTCACAAAAATTTCATTTAAAAAATTACCTTTCTCTATAAACTTGTACCTGAGATTTATTTTAACAACAAATTTTCACCATTTCAACCATGCTCTACATTATCTGCCATTGCTACTTCTCAGCCTGCAGTAACAGTAACCTTTTATCCTAACTTCCTAAAAAGTTTGTATTTATTAAGGACTCACCACATGTTATGCACATTCTGAGCACTTTGTATGTTGTAATTCATCTAATCCTCAATACATATACATATTATTATTATTATCATTAATTCCAATTTACAGAAGAGAAAATTGGGGCACTGGAAGGTTAACTTTTTTTTTTTTTAAGATTTTTATTTATTTATTGAGAGAGAGAGAGAATGATAGAGAGAGCATGAGTAGGGAAGAGGGTCAGAGGGAGAAGCAGACTCCTCGCCGAGCAGGGAGCCCGATGCGGGACTCGATCCCGGGACTCCAGGATCATGACCTGAGCTGAAGGCAGTCGCCAACCAACTGAGCCACCCAGGCGCCCCGGAAGGTTAACTAACTTGCCTTGAAACTCACATAGCTAGAAGATGGTGGAGCAGGAAGATGAATCCAGATGGTTTGGCTCAGAGACCGAGTTCTTAATCGTTCATATACAGACCTAGCTCATAGGTTACCCTTAAAAATGGGTATCCCGGGGCGCCTGAGTGGCTCAGTCGTTAAGTGTCTGCCTTCGGCTCAGGTCATGATCCCAGGGTCGTGAGATCAAGCCCCACATCAGGCTCCCTGCTGGGCGGGAAGCCTGCTTCTCCCTCTCCCACTCCCCCTGCTTGTGTTCCCTCTCTTGCTGTGTCTCTCTCTGTCAAATAAATAAATAAAATCTTTAAAAAAAAAAAAATGGGTATCCCTTTTCTGTGGCCTCACAGCACTACTTTCCAGCACAGCATTTATCACAATGTAGTATCTATATTTGTTTGCTGCTCTAGACCGGGAGCTCCTAAAAACCAGGCAAAGTCTCACATTCATCTCTGAAATCCAAGTAACTATGCAGCATACTTGGCACTTCATTGAATGCTTACTGAATGTTAGCTGGATGAAGAAGTTAGCACTATCACAGGGCATTATCATACTTTACAAAAAAAACACAACATAATCAGGCTAGCTAACTAACCATCATACCCATTTCAGGCCTGCTGCTTCTGGAATAATCAGTGATGCAGCCTCCACCCAGCCAATCCAGGGAATCAGACCTCCTTCCACAGAGCCTTCCTTCTCTTTCTCTTGAGACCTTCCCTGGATGGCAGTCTCTTACCCTCCCACCCCATCTCCCTCTTATCCCATCCTTGGTATCTTACCCTAGTGCCAGGGCCACCCTTCTTCCCCTTCCAGACAGATACCTAGGGGAAAGGCACTGTGCCTTACTAAGTTAATGAATAATAGTAATTATAAAATTAAAAGCTAACACTTATTTAGTGCTTATTATGAGCCACTCATGGTTCTGGGCAGGCTCTATCTCAGATGTATTCTAAGGCATCAAAGGACTTTTACCTGTCTGGTCAGCATGAAGCCAGAGGATGCAAAGGTTAGGGAACTTCAGAGGGCCTCCAAGGGGACCACCACCTTCCTCTGCATGTTGACGATGAAGAAATTCACTATGAGAGATTCCCGTTTCTTCAAACACTTGCAAGCTCCTAAGTCATTTAAAGGGGCGGGGGGGGGGGCACACCCATAAAAACCATTAGAAAATATTCTCAAATGAAACAAGGAGAGAGGCTATTTATTATAGAACACCTCTTTCTCATTTTCACTGTATAAGCTCCTGAAGCCATGAAGGTCTGGGGTTACTCCAATCCTATAGCTACTCAGAAAACAGTCCCAAAGAAAATTTTAGGTAAAGTAAGAATAATACTATTCTTCTAAACATATATTAATTTTTCTAAACTCAGGTTCAGAAACAGCAGGCTTCTTCCACACAAATAGAATGGGACTCACTCACCTTCAGGTAAGCAGTAAAAGAGCTTATTTGGGAGACTGTTACAAGCCAGCAAGTCCAGTCTCGCTGGAACGCCTTTCCCACAGTACAAAAGTATGTTGTATATCCAGCTCATCAACTTTTTTTTTACATAGGTCTAGAATTAAGGAAGAACACTTCTGACTGATTTGGTACTCTACTAGCACAAAGATCACTGCAGAAAGAACTCACATACTTATTCTTCAGCCACCCTCGGCTCTGTCTGCCTCTATTAGTTATGCAGCCCTAGGTAATGTAACTCTCAAATCTACACTCCACCACTCTGGGTGACTGCAACTTATCAGATTGAAAGTGATCTTTCCCTCCCTGACCCAATTCTACTTCCTGAAATCCTAACACAAGAGTAGAGACCCCTTGTCTTTCCGTACCACTGATCACTCAAAGAGGACCTGTGAGGAAAAATTGTGGTAATACATAATCTCAATTATCTGGAGGTTGGGATACAGTCTCAAACTAAAAGAAAGATGAGGGACGCCTGGGTGGCTCAGTCAGTTAAGCGTCTGCCTTCAGCTCAGGTCATGATCCCGGGGTCCTGGGATCAAGCCCTGCATCAGGTTCCCTGTTCTGCGGGGAGTCTGCTTCTCCCTCAGCACCCCCCCCACCCCCGTCCCCTGCTTGTGCTCTCTCTTTCTCTCAAATGAATAATTAAAAACCTTTAAAAAAAAAAAAGAAAAGAAACATGAACAAAGTCCTCCAGTCCTCTCTAAAGAAGAGACTCTAGAACTCTTGCTTAGAAGCTTACTAAGTGATGCAGCCTCCACCCAGCCAATCCAGGGGAATCAGACCTCCTTCCACATTCCTAGGTAATGAGAGGGCCTTGCTGCTAATAGCAGTTGGTGCAGATTGGTGTATTCCCAGCACGCAGGTTGCAAGGCCCTGAGGTACTGCCTCAGTCCACCTCCTCTTACCAAGACACAATTCTTGACTCATTACTAGTTTAGAAGTAGCAAAATGAGGACAGGTTGATAAGAAAAAACTCATCAATAAAGAGAGGATAATAAAGACCAAATCTAGAATTACACCATAAAACAACATAAAAATGAATGTTCATCATTAATGTTCCTATTTTCGAAAAATTTTTGAAAGATCTCTATTAAAATGTTTTAAAATAAAATGTTTGGATACTGAAAGTATAAATTTCATTTATCTAGAATGTGCATTATCACCTGAGATGATACTGCTCTCAAGGAGGCAAAAAAACTTAGACATTACAATGGTGTATGACACTCCAAGGGGCAACCATACCCAAAGAAATATTATTCTTTAGTACTAAATTTCATGAAGGACAGGGAGGGAGGGAGGCACAATTAGGAAAAAAGTTTCTAAAAAGTCTCTGGGTGTGTGTGGGTTGGTGGGAGATAATGAAAAATGATTAAGAAACACTGATCTAGAACATTCATTTGCGTGGAATACTTTATAATCCCTGTCAATACCAGATGGTGCTATAATATTTAATCTGTGTAATCAACCGTCCTTTATTAGATCCTCTACTCTGCTAGATATGGTATCACTCCCAACACTGCAGAAGAATAAACTTAACACACGAGGCTGCAATTTCAAAACAACCTAAGAAAACATGACCTTATGAGTTCATTCACCACCTCTGTCTTCCCTTCAAGAAAGCCTCCATATGTGAAGGTGAGTTGGTCTATGAGACAGTTTATAAAATCTGCCTCCCCCTGGGAAAGCTGCTGGGGCAGAACTCAGCATTGCGCCGTCAATTATGAAACTCAAATCACAATGTAAGCCAATTGCATGCCAGAAAAAATTTATATGAAAACTGTTGTACACGCAAAGATCAAATAGGAAATGAAGCGCAATTACCTAGGCCCTAGGGAAAACTCTATTGTATTATACATTTTAAAATAACAACAAAGTTGGGTGCAATTATTTATTGAGGGAGGTGGACTGAGGCAGTACCTCAGGGCCTTGCAACCTGCGTGCTGGGAATACACCAATCTGCACCAACTGCTATTAGGAAACCCCTCTCATTACCTAGGCACACTGAAGAACTGACTGCCCAACTCCAGAGGGACTCAGGCTCAGTGGGCCCAGGCTTTCTTACCTGGCCACTTTGCGCTTGTCATGGGGGTGCAACTTGGCAGCCATTTCTGGGTCCACTTGGCTTAGGCGTTTGTGGAGTACATGGCCATCCTCCTTTTCAAGCTCTACTTTCCGGTCAATCACCTTCTCAGTGCCCACCTCCTGGGGCTATTAAAAGGTTTAGAAGTAAATTTAATTCAATAGTTCAACAAGCATTGCAACAGTGTATATGCCAGGCACTTTGCTAGGAGTTAGAAATACAGAACAGAGAGAAATCAGAAGGTCTTGCCATATAGTGAGAGAGAGACCTCAGAAAATTCCAATACACTGTGGCAGTGCTGGGAGGCCACAGCACACAAAGGAGGACTTACTGCTCAGGGAAGGACTCAGGTACCTGCTTCCTTGTCAGAAGTACAAACAGGAACCAGGGCTAACACATCTGTATTAACATCTCCAGAAGTCCAGTCTTCTCAGCAAGTGACCAGTGTGGACCAGGACTGCCCACACATTACAGTTTGCAAAGTCTCCCCCTATGTAATAGCGTCTCCATAAGAAAGGTTAGTGTTGGACATCTCACTAATGTACAGACTGTAATAGCCAAGAAATGCTGAGTCAGGCTGATGAACTGTTAACTCACATGGAGTTGCTAATTAATTCACAGAGGAGCATTTTTCCCACACACGGCCCCTGCCCTCAGGCCACCCTGGAGGAGCACACTTCACATATGGAGGTGGCATTTGCTTCAGAATATTAAATAAGAAAATTACAGTTGCTGAGTTTAAGAAACAGACAAGAGTCAACCTTCCTCCCACTAAAATTAGCTGGCAAGAAAGAGGAACCCATTTCCTCAGTGACTTATAAGTGAACTAAACATACCTTAGTATTGACAAGAACTTTCCAGAGCAGAGACTCAATGTAATAATTGGTTCCTCCCACGACAATAGGAATTTTGTCTCGGGCAAATATATCTTCAATGTGGAATGTTAAGAAAGACATCACAATATTTAATATCAAGAAGAGCATCCTGACTCACTTGGGAAGGAGGTATTAGCAAGAAACCACACTCATTTACTCAACTGGAGAACAGAGGAGAAAGGGTGGAAACCAAGATGAACTGATAATCAGTCTTCACTGTTTCCCATGAGTTCTCAGAAGCATTTCCTATTAGTTCTGGAGGGACTTGCATAAACCAGATACAGATGCATGATGGTAATTCCTTCCAGTTCTAGAAATTTCTAGGCCTTGCTGCTAAAATTCAAAGCTTGCTTGGTATTCCAAATCAGTTTAACCAGCACAAGCCCAAGGGCTCTCAGAGAACCAAGTGTCAGCTGCTCAGGAAGCCACCAAGGTGATGTCCATTGTGTGACTGCCTTCTAAGATAAAATACAAGCTGGTTTCTCTATGCCATGGTTCTTAGACTCAGTCAGTCCCCACCATTATGTGGTAGTACTGCACATTTCAGCCCCATTTGAGACTTTGCCAGATAAACTGAGAAGCACAGGTTCCAAAGACAAATAGATCTCAATTACCAGCTCCAACTCTCTGATAAGTTACTCAGCCTGAGCTTCAGTTTTCTCACCTGTAAAATTCTCCTGAATTCTAAGGAGCATTAAATGTGACAAGGCATATAAATCCCCTACCATGATGCCTGAAATATTTGCTTTCAATTGAATAAGTACTGAATTTACTTGAGCCACTATTGTTTTTATATCCCTGCTACTTTGAATTCTTCTCTTTAGAATCCCTGTTGAACAGATAATTATCTGCTTTATGAAGGGCTTTGCTTCTGAAGATAATTGATAAAAAGAGACTTTCAACCTAGACAAAGACTCATTTACACACTTCTTCTCCTTGCTAGCCTGTCTGTGGGCACAGAGATAGATGACCTCTTTTCTACCAGAAGCACACGAACCCAAGAGGTTGGGGTGGGGTGGTAAGAAAGCTATTACCAATCAAGGATCTTAAAGAAGAAACACTGTTTCTCTATTTGTTTTTTTTTTTTTAAGATTTTATTTATTGGGCGCCTGGGTGGCTCAGTTGGTTAAGCGACTGCCTTCGGCTCAGGTCATGATCCTGGAGTCCCTGGATCGAGTCCCGCATCAGGCTCCCTGCTCGGCAGGGAGTCTGCTTCGTCCTCTGACCCTATCCCCTCTCATGAGTTCTCTCTCTCTCATTCTCTCTCTCTCTCTCTCAAATAAATAAATAAATAAATAAATAAATCTTTAAAAAAATATATATTTATTTATTTGTTTGAGACAGAGAGAATGAGAGAGAGAGCACATGAGAGGGGGGAGGGTCAGAGGGAGAAGCAGGTTCCCTGCTGAGCAGGGAGCCTGATGCGGGACTCGATCCAGGGACTCCAGGATCATGACCTGAGCCGAAGGCAGTCGCTTAACCAACTGAGCCACCCAGGCACCCAAGATTTTATTTATTTATTTGAGAGAGAGATCGAGAGAGGGAGAGCGAGGGAGAGCAGGGTGAGGGGCAGAGGGAGAAGCAGACTCCTCGCTGAGCAGAAAGCCCGATGCGGGGCTCCATCCCGGGATTCTGGGACCATGACGTAAGCCAAAGGCACACTTTTAATCAACTGAGCCACCCAGGCAACCCCCCTCTACTGGTTTTTTAAAAAAGAGAAATACTATATTCCCCCTATTAAGTATAGGGAGCATACAATTACAGTAAATGTAATAAAAATTCAAATATATACTATGATTGACAAAGGGAAAGGAAGCAAGGGAAGTAAAAAGGGAAGGGGAAAATGGTGAGATGCCAAAAAGAGAGAGAGTGGAAAACAGGGAAGGAGATGGGATAGGAGATATTTGGTGGGAAAAGGTTTAACTTGTTTGCCCAAGCCATGAAACAACTGTGATCCTGGACAAAACCCTTCTCTCTGGGCCTCTGTTATCTAATACCTTACTTAGCCTGTCAAATCAAGAAGGTTAACTGGATACTTCTTAAGGTACTTTCAGTTCTGATTTTGGGTTCATACCTAAACTCAGAAATCTCTAATCCTGTAAATGATGTGATTAAGTCATCCCTACTGCCCTCTGAAAACTCTATTTTCTATCAGCTTTTTCTGAACAACCAAACTGTCTTAAAGCAACAACATACATTTGGTGATATGTTCTAATTTGCCAAGGGCTTTCATATACATTATCTCACCTGATACAACTGTCTCGTAAAGCAGGTAGGGTAAGAATTATCTGCATTTTAATCTCTGCCTATTTGATAGGCAAAAAAATATGATTTCATTATTTTGATTTGCATGGCCTTAACAGCAAGGGTAAACCCGTCTTCATGTTTACCATCATTTAGATTTCTTCCTTTGTGAATTACTACTCAGGCCCTTTAAGTATTTTTCATATTGATTCATATGAGTTCTTTATATATTAAGGATATTAACCATTTGCCTTTTCTATGTTACAAATATTTTTTTCCTCTGGCTTGCAGTGTGTTTTTTAATTTTGTTTATAGTGGGCTAATTTTTTTAAATTATAAAATATTCAATACATACAAAAGAACATACGTAAATTATGAAGCCTTATAATAAACATATACTCATGAAGCCAGTGTAAGAAAAGGAGTGTTATCAATTCTTTTGAAGCTTCCTGTGTATTCATTCCTATCCCAACCCCCTACTTCCCCTCTCTGTGGGGAAACCTGAGATTTGCTATCCTGAATTGTTTGGTTTTTCTTGTTATCATTCCCTTGCTTTCCTTTACCTAATTCCTTAGGTATATGTAACCCCCTAAAAAATACATTGATTAGTTTTGCTTGCTTTTTAACTTTTATAATAAATGGTATGAATGTATATGGTATGAATGTCTATAATTTCTCACATTTTACATTGTTTCTGAGATTCTTCCACATTGCTGCATGTAGCTATAATTTATTCATTTCACTGCTGAAAAGTACTTATATGAACAAAGCAAATTTTATACATTCTTCTGTAAGTAAGAATTCAGGTGTTTATGTTTTTGCCATTAAGAGCAATGCTGCTATGAATGAGATCTACCACCTATCTCATACGCATGGCAAGCTTACTCTAGGGTGGATACCTAGTTCTGGTTGATATACCTTCTTGCTGACACAAATTCTTAATTCGTACATACTCAAAGCTAGCTACTTTCCTTAAAAAAAAAGGGGGGGTTGCCTAGGTGTACAGTCAGTTGAGCATCCGACTCTTGGTTTCGGCTTAGGTCATGATCTCAGGGTCCTGGGATCAAGCCCCATAGAGTACATGGAGTCTGTTTGGGATTCTCTCTACCTCTCCCTCTGCCCCTCCCACTCGTGCTCTCTCTCTCTCTCAATAAATAAATCTTTAAAAACAAAAACAAATCAGAAGGTTATGGGGATGGATGGTGGTGATGGTTGCACCACAATGTGAATGTATTTGATACAACTGAACTGTACACTTAAAAAATGGTTAAGTGGTAAATTTTGTGTGTATTTAACACAGTAAAATAAAGGAAAAATTTGAGTTTAAAAAATCCATTAAGATAACTTTTTTAGAAACTATGTATCTACAAAGTCCTTCCCTACTCTAAAATCACATAACTACTCAATCATATATTATCCCATTTGTTTTAAAGTTTTAAAAATACATGTATTTAACTCTGAAATCCATCTGCAATTTATGTCATACATAATGAGGTCATAATTTTATTTTTTTCCAAAAAAATTAGCTGTCCCAAGAATATTAACTACTGCATTATTTCTCTGTCGTTTTAAATGCCACCTTGATCATAAGGTAAATATATACAGCCATTTTAATTTGTATCTGAGTTTTCCATTCTGTGTCATAAGTTTGTCTAGTATAAGTTCCATACTATTATAATTATTATGAATTTTCCTTATGTTTTAATATCTGGTAGTCCAAATTTTTTAAAGCAATCTCTATACCCAACATGAGGCTTGAACTCACAACCCGGAGATCAAGAGTTGCATGCTCTACCCACTGAGCCAGCCAGGCACCCCATCTGGAAGTCTGGACAATTAAAATATAAGGACAGTCCCCCTTACATTATTCTTTTTTCAAAATGTACTGGTGTTGAAACTAATATAACACTATATGTTAACTATACTAGAATTATAATTTTAAAAAATAAACAAGGGGGGGGCGCCTGGGTGGCTCAGTTGGTTAAGCGACTGCCTTCGGCTTGGGTCATGATCCTGGAGTCCTGGGATCGAGTCCCGCATCGGGCTCCCTGCTCAGCAGGGAGTCTGCTTCTCCCTCTGATCCTCCACCCTCTCATGCTCTCTGTCTCTCATTCTCTCTGTCTCAAATAAATAAATAAAATCTTTAAAATAAACAAACAAACAAACAAACAAGGGGCACCTGGGTGGCTCAGTCAGTTAAGCATCTGACTTGATCTCAGCTCATGTCTTGATTTCAGGGTTGTGAGTTTAAGCCCCATGTTGGGCTCCATGCTGGGCGTAGAGCCTACTTAATCAATCAAAGATCGCTGATCACAGAAAAAAAATTGTTTTTGCAGTCCTCCCTCACCCAACAATCCCTATTAAATTCTAACTCTAACTCCGTATTTATAAATTGATTTTGTATCCCCATTTAAAGGGTGGGAAACTGAAACTGAGCTGGGTAATGCTCTACCCAATAAAATTCACTTGGTCCAAAGAGGCAGTTCTGGGACTAGAACACAGATTTTCTAGTTCCTAAATCAGTGTTCTCTCCACTAAAACAGCTTCTCAAATTTTAATATGCATATGAATCACCTGGGACTCTTGTGAAATGTAGATTCTGATTCATTAGTTCTTGAGTGAGGCCCAAATTCAGCATTTCTAGTAAGTGCCCAAGGGATGGCTGATGCTGCAGTCTGACAAGACTCTGAGAAGCAAGGGCACTATATCTTTTGATCCATATAGTTCTGATGGGGGTGCTACCTATTGGTTGTTAAGTCTTGGGTGCCCTTGCTTAGAAGAAATTGTCAATGAAACAAAAACTTCTTTCTTGGCTTGGACTGCCTTATACCCACCAAGCCTAGTTGCTGTCTTTACTAAGGATATCAGAGCAGTTGCCTTGTTCCTGAAGTCCACAACTGTGTAATTTGTCACGAGAGGATCCACAAAGCTGATCATGTGGTGCTGGCATATTCTCTGCTCTTGGGCAGAAACCTTGTTGGTGATGATGTCCAGGCCTTCATAAACCTAGGGGAAAGAAAATTAACATGAGAAAGTCACCTGCCTCCATAAAAGGCACACTTGCCCTCCAGCCAAACATGTGACTGACCCAAAGCACCAGAATAGATGTGTTCTTCTTCTTCTTCTTCTTTTTTTTTAGAGTAGATGTGTTCTAAGCATATGTGTTCAGAGCACAGCAGACCTACCAAAACATAAGACAAAGGAAGTAGAAGAAAACAGAACACTGGCTTTCTTATCAAATAATGGCTATTAGCTTAGACTTCAAGATAAAAAGTGTATGTAAATCAATGCCCAAGTGAGAACTAATTCTGCAAAATTAACTGGAGGTTCTTTAGGTTCTTTAAGCATTTAAAAATGGGCAGGTTGTTTTACTTATCACAAGTCTCCAGAAAGGTAACATTTTGCATTGCTCATAGTTCTACTTCAAATGCTTAGATATTTCTTGGATTTAAATGGCTCTGAAAGATTTTTAGAATCTTGGTTCCATTTGTAGAGAAGTGGCCTATTTACAAAGATACATATAAAACACACACGTATACACTTTGAAGTTAGAACCCCTAACACTGCTGTACTCTAATGGAAACATTGTGATCTAACCAAATTACTGCTTCAGGGGGTCAGCACATACAGTCTAAATACTAAAAGGCAATATCCTGTCTGTAAGCTCTTGATCTGCCAATTCAACTAAAAAGTTCAAATGTACTTTTTCTAAATGCAAGGTCTCAGATGGAGAACAGATCTGAAAATACTAGTTTGAAAACAGGGATGAATGCTTTGAGATTAAATGTTCTCTCTGTAATCACTGATTCTACAGGGAACACTGAATGAACAAATAATAAGTTCCATAGAGCCCACAAAGATGTTAAAAGCATTTTTTATCTCACATTTCCCTTTACTTACATGAGTGTCGATTAAGTACAGTACAGTATAATGGTTGGGAGGAAGGACACTGGCGCCAGGCTGCCTCAGATCAATTCCTAGCTCTGCTGCTTACCAGTTATTTGTACTCATGGAGTAGTCAGTTACTAACCTCTCTCTGCCTCAATCCCTAATCAGTAAAATGAGGATAATAGTATCTATCTCATGGGGTTGTTGTGTGGATTAAGTGAGTTAGTACATGCAAGGCACTTGGTTTTTGCCTAACACACTGCATATGCTATACAGGGTCATTACATAACTACCTATATTACGACCACTACTAGTATCACAAGGCAAGGAGAACGGGAAATAAGTTTAGTGTCATTATCACTCTGAAGCTTCTGTGCTCTTAACTACTGAGGTTATTTACCCAACAAGCATATAAGCTATCTTCAAGTAAAAGAAAATTGTTAATTAGTAAAATAAGTACAAAGAAATATAAAGAGCCATAGGGAAAGAACCAGCTCTGCCTTTAACTCATTTAATCTGTACCTGACAACAGACTTGCATTCTCACACCTGAATACTGATGGAATCTTAAATCATAGGGTGTTCTTTTTTGTGTATCTTGAACAAGATGTCCTTCTGACATTATAAAGTGCCGTAGCATATACTGCACACGGCAGTCTTCTGCACAAATTAAGAAAACTAAAGGAGGGAAAGGAGTTAGTAATTGTGTGTTCTGGGCGCCTGGATGGCTCAGTTGGTTAAGTGTCTGCCTTCAGCTCAGGTCATGATCCCAGGGTCCCGGGATCGAGCCCCACATCGGGCTCCCTGCTTGTCAGGAAGCCTGCTTCTCCCTCTCTCACTCCCCCTGCTTGTGTTCCCTCTCTCACTGTGTCTCTCTCTGTCAAATACATAAATAAAATCTTTAAAAAAAATTTTTTTTTATGTTTATTTTCTGCTTTTAACAATAGGGAAAAGGGGCACCTGGGTGGCTCAGTTGGTTAAGCGACTGCCTTCAGCTCAGGTCATGATCCCAGGGTCCTGGGATCGAGTCCTGCATCGGGCTCCCTGCTCTGCGGGGAGCCTGCTTCTCCCTCTCCCACTCCCCCTGCTTGTGTTCCCTCTCTCGCTGTGTCTCTCTCTGTCAAATAAATAAATAAAATCTTAAAAAAAAAAAAATAGGAAAAAAAAGTATATGAAGACTGGGATTCATGTTCCAATAATGGGGTAGGAAGGTCAGACTAACTGAACTAAGATTGGCCAAGTGTTCCTAACTACTGAAGTGAGGTGAGACACACAGCAGTTCAACTGGCATTCGCTCTTATTTTTTTATATGTTGGGAAATTTCCCTAACAAAAAGTTTCTTTTAGAAAATTTGGATGCACTTCACACCCACTAAGATGTCTACTGTCAAAAAGCAGAAAATAATAAATGTTGGTGCAGATGTAGAGACATTAGAACCCCCGTGCATTGTTGGTGGGAATATAAAATGACACAGCTATGGATTGAAAACAGTATGATGATTCATCAAAACACAAAAAATAGTGGGGTGCCTGGTGGGCTCAGTCTGTAGAGCATGTGACTCTTGATATCAAGGTTGTGAGTTCAAGCCCCATAAAAATATAAAAAATAGGGGCGCCTGGGTGGCCCAGTCAGTTGAGCATCTGCCTTCGGCTTGGGTCGTGGTCCCGGGGTCCTTGGATGGAGTCCCGCGTCAGGCTCCCTGCTCCGCGGGGAACCTGCTTCTCCTTCTGCCTCTGCCTCTCTCTCTGTCTCTCACGAATAAATAATTTATATATATATACATACATATATATATAGAGAGAGAGAGAGAATTACCATATGATCCAGCAACTCCACTTCTGGGTACATACCCAAAAGAACTGAAAGCAGGGAGTTGAACAGATACTTATACACCCATGTTTATAGCAGCATTATTCACAGAAGCCAAAAGGTGGAAGCAATCCATATCCATCATGAACGAATGGATAAACAAAATGTGCTGTATACATATAATGGAATATTATTCAGCCTTAAAAAGGAAGGAAATTCTGACACATACTATAGAAGAACCTTGAAGATATCATGCTAAGTGAAATAACCCAGTAACAAAAAGACAAATATTGTATGATTCTACTAACATAACTAAAGTAGTCAAATTCAAAGACAGAAAGTAGAATGGTGGTTGCCAGGGGCTGGGGCAGAGAAGAATGGGGAATTAGTATAAAACGTACAGAATTCCAGTTTGGGAAGATGAAAAAAGTTCTGGAGATGGAGGGTAATGACTGCTGCAGAACAATGTGAATGTGCTTAATGTATGGTAAAATAGTAAATTTTATGTCATGTATATTTTACCATGTATGGTTTACCATAACAAAAGACTTGGATCACAGACTTTTGATACAATGAGAAACCAGTGAATATTAGCAATGAAATGAAATTTTCAAAAATTTGTTGAATTTTTCAATTCTTTTTCTTTTTAAATTTTTTAAGAGGTTTTATTTATTTATTTGAGAGGGAGAAAGAACACATGAGCAGGGGGAGCAGGAGAGGGAGAGGGAGAAGCAGACTGCCCACCTGAGCCGGGAGCCCGATGCTGGACTCGATTCCAAGTTGCTGGGATCATGACCTGAGCAGAAGGCAGACGCTCAATGGACTGAGCCACCCAGGCATCCCTTGAATTTTGCAATTCTTTTCAATATATACCCAGAAGTGGAATTGCTGGATCATATCATAACTTTCAAAATTATTGAGAGGAACTGGTAATGTTCTATTCCTTGAACTGAGTTTTGATTACACAGGTATTTTCACTTTTTTGATAACTTACTGAACTGTACAGTTATGAATTATGGATTTTTTTAGATTTTATTTTTAAGTAATCTCTACACCCAACATGGGGCTTGAACCTATATCCCCAAGAACAAGAGTCGTACATTCCATGAATTAAGCAGGCAAGGAGCCCCATGAATTACGCATTTTATGATATACATTATTTATCAATTAAAATCATACCACCCAGCCAAAAAGTAAAAATACAATACATTTTACACATTTGCACTAAGGATAAATATCTAAACAAATTTAGAAACCAATCAATTCTGTAAATGTCACATTTGGTCCATACAGGTATTTATATTGTAAATCCCACAACTGGGCTTATTTTATTACCTGCCCAGAAAATATCATCCTACCAGAGTAAGTTAGGTTTGCAGCTGATTGCCTTATATTTTCCAGCTTCGATTATAGTTTCAGTGTGACTCCACTTATAAAATGGTCAGCCCTGGGTGGTAGGAAGAGCTTAAAGGATCTGTTTTATCTTCTAGAGGCAGCATGTCACTCTGTTCCATTTCCTATTCTCCCAGAGGACACCTGTGATCTGTGTACACAGAAATGACTGGATAAAATGCTTCTCTCTGCACAAATCAGATTTTGTCAATAGTAAGGGAACTCTGACCTCTTTGTGAGGTCTGACAACTGAAATACTCTGAAAAATTACAGGTTTAACCTACTTAGAATTATCAACATGACTGACTTACCTCAGCAAACATTTACTGAGAGTCTACTATGTGCCAGGTACTCTGCAAGATGTTAGGCATTCAAAGATTAATAAAGGGTCCCTGTCCTCTAGGAGTCCAGGCTAGCAAGAGACACAGATACAAATAACTGTACTATAAAGAGATAAATGATATAAAAGTTTCTGAGAGATAATAAAGTTTGACTGTAACTATCTTCTTTAAATCTCATAAGCACTAAACATTTAATGTTCTAGGTATTTAACTGGGTACTAGAAGGAAATATGCTTCTGTCTCACCTCTATTGAGAGTTTATTTCCAGACTGAAAAGGTTTTGGGAAAAGGTCACAAAACTGAAATAACCCGAACTCTCCAAACCAACAGAGCTAAAGTGCTCAGAGGCGCTAATCAAAGTGAGTGAAATTTACAACAGTAAATCTAGAGCTGTGGTTATCAACAGCAGAATCTAGAGCTGTGTTATCAACCAGAAGTGAACTGTCCACCAGGGGACATTTGGCAATGTCTAGAAACATTTTTGGCTGTCACAATTGCAAGGGTGGAGGTGCTGCTGGTATCTAGTGGGTGGAGGTCAGGGATGCTGCTAAACATCCTACGATGCAAGGACAACTCCCCCCCACCACCACCACCACATACACACACACAACAAAAAATTATCTGGCCCCAAAATGTCAACAGTCCTGAGGTTGAGAAACCCTAATCCAAAGAAATTCTACCTTGGAGAAACTCCCCCAAATCTTTAAGTGTACCGCTAAGGATCCACTCACGTAAGGCTCCATCACTTTATG